TATTTAGATCAGATGATAAGCTATATGCATGTCCACTTGCTACGCACAGCTCCACTTTTTAGGTCTTCTGCTAGCTAAACTTTAAGGCCATCACTGGAGTACCTTTGATTAGCAGAGATCTGTAATCTAGGTGGCTCTTCAGTATGGTTTGAGGGCAGAAGACGTCTTGTTTCTTCTATTTTTTTTTCGCAAACAGCGGCATTCGCGACAGAAAAATTATAATTAATTTCATCTGGCTTGAATTGAATTTCGAACGTTCATAGCATTCTGCATGATATTATTAAAGGTATAGTTATCTCTCGCAGAATTGCGCTGGTGCGTGACACTTGTGGGTTTTCAATAGTGCCACAGGTCTTTACCTATGAACTGCAATCTGCAGATACTCTGAGAAGCAACATAACCCAAGCCATCGCTCAAATTTAACTGGATCTATGCAAGTAAGAATTAGAACCCTTCAATCTGTCCCGTGTCATACCTTCTTATTAATATTATAAATGCGAAAGTTTGGATATTCGTTATTCAATCATGAATCTGAACAAAACTTGGTTCAGAGATAAATTAGAGTCTGGAATAGGTCATAGGCTACTGTTCATCCCGGGAAATAACTTTGAAATCTCTATTTCACGGTCTACATCCCAAGCGGTCTAATGGAATTTGACATGCCAGGCGCGGAAGCGCTCAGTCTCCGGTCCGACCAAAATAATTCAGGACATATAAATAAGACATTTACATCGTGCATTTACTGTAGTTTTTTATTATAAATGGCTGAGCCGATTTTGATTCATTGCAGCATGAATACAGATTAAACCTTACTTGGGGAGGTTGAAATAAGGGACGAAAGTTACCATCCAAACTATTACTAGAGTAACTATATAACTATAACTTGGAATATATGAGCACTTGGAGAGAAATTTTTTAAATTCCACCACTAACCTAAGGGGTGAACTGGAGGTTAATACTATTGAAGCTGAAGAACCTAAAATATTTCATACAAAACTTAGTAGAGAGGTACTTGAGGATAAGGCATACCAGCTCACAACAGTTACCAGCTCAGGACAGATTTCGCGGCAGAGTTGGGCTAAAGGAGATTATATGGCAGATATACGAGTAGATATAGAAAATTGTTAGTCGCAAAGCCTCGAAAACTATTTTGCACATGAATATATAATTTGGCAGCAAGTTCCATTATGGAAACACACTTCAGGTAAGAATGGGTTTTGTGACAAGGCAGGATTAAGGGGGGATATTACGACCGCAATTCCAATTTTACTGTAATTTTCCATCGTTTGTTCCACCGCTGTTTTTCTTGGCACTAAATATGGTCGTGCTTATAGAAGAAATAGGAAGAGCTGACACTAACCGTAAGCAGAGCACGAGTACCTGTGGAATCGGTAGAACTGCTACTAAATGCACACACTTTTTTCCAACGCTATTTTCTTAAACCGCCATTCTATAATCACTTATTACTGTGCAAGTGCGTGTTAAGATGTTCCAGAAGAGACCAAGAGCCCTGCCGATGTACCCTTCATTTGGGGCATAGTCGCAACCGCCATAGCAGCTATAAGGCGAGTTATACATATACAGGGTGGCCCATCCATCTGTGGACGGAATATTACTCATATACAAATACATTTTGGGAAAATCTATTAATGGAATGTTATACACGACATTTGAGGGCACATTTCTAAGATATTGGCCATGATACAAGGTATCCCAATTTCGACCTACATATCAAAGTTGTGATTTTCCAAATAGAATTCCTCAAATTTTATTGCAAATTTGGATAAACCAATTCAAAGTAAGGAAATTGATATGACATACTATGGGGTTTTGGTAATTAGCTATGCTGAATTTTGTATCAAAAAAAAAATTACACACCCCAGCTTTTATCTTATTTGTTACCAGCGTAACTTTTTGGACACCTGGAGTAACAATCGTTGGATCCGTTGTGATGGGCCTATATCTTGGCCTCCCTAATTGAACACGTGCTGAGGGATGTGTAACGGTCATTTATTCAACATGGTGGAGATATTTTCGATCAGTTTTTGTAGATTGTTTTTCTCAACTGCGCTTGAAGCTGATTTATATTGTTCTGATTGTTATTAGTTTTACGACAATTCTGTACTATTAGTGGCAATATGGAACTAGCCCACTGTTTGTCTTTTGTTTCCATGGACGATGTGATTTTTTCCTTAATTTTCGGTGTGCTGTTCTATTAAAAGCTTAATAACTTTAAATTTAGTGATTTTATCTGAATCAAACCTTATACCAAAAAAAATCTTATAAAAAAAATTGAATCCAAACTTGCACAAATATACAGGGTGATGCTTTGAAATTTGGATGGGCCACCCTGTATACAAGCGATGATAAACGCACTTACTGATCAAGAAATCTCGAAAGGTGTTTGAACTATGAGCATGAAATTTGACAGAAAGGTTGCTTAAGAACAAGACATATCAGCTAAGAATGAATTTTGCCACGTGGCCGGAATCAATTAGGATGGAGGCAGACAAGTTTATACGAAAGTACTGTGCTGTTATTCTGAAGATAATTAAGCGGAAAGGTAATTTATACGCAGTAGATATCAGTTAAGAACGCATTTTGCGAAAGGTCAATATTATGGAGGTTAAAGAGTACTCGAGAGTTTGTTTGAAAATCCTGCTAGATATCTGAAATTGGTAATAATTTAAAGATGGAGTAGTCTCAGTCTGAGAATGAATTTTGTGTCATGAGGAAAAAGGGGTTTACAGGCTGTCATATTTTTGTTTATTTCCCTCTTCTAACTACTAAGACTATGCAAACGGTATTTTTCTGAAATTTAAATATTAGCTTAGTCTAATGTGTTACTTTCAAATGTTTGTTGTTTTTACAATTTTGAGCATACGAAGTCGCAGGTAAGAGCATTCTTTAAAAATTGCCTTCCATGAGCCTTTCAAATGAGAAACTTTTGTGAACAACGCAGGCACAAACGAATTAATTCTATCACCGACTCCTTACTGGAACGGGAACCATTTACTATGAAGAAATTACAGAACATTAACAATATACCTTAGTTCGATCTTAATTAGAATTTTAGCAGCTAAAGCATTTTGCATGTTTAAGCTCAGATGGATATATGCGACGTATTTACCTCTACAGACCTAAACAGTTTGTGGTTTTTATAAACATAGCTATTTCTTTTTATTATTATTATTATTATTATTATTAAACAACAAATTTGAGTTGAGTACAAGTACTATAAACTCAAACACAAAAATAGATAATAGTGTACAGACAAAAGAAATATAACAATTTGACAATCGTAGCACTTCTGAAGTAGACATATACAGAATGGGAACAATATGTTAAGCACTGCGGTGTCTATCGTAATTGTTTTTGAAACTGTTGACGGATTCCGAGTTCACTACATAAGATGGAAGACTGTTCCATGCATCGAAGACACGGTTTGAGATGAAGCGCTGACGAGTAGAGGTTCTAAAAGCTTCCTTCTGCAATTTGAGGTTATGGCCTCTGAGACTGTTCGTTGCCAGACGAAACAGATGCGACATGTCCACACCAAACAAATTATGCAGTGCTCTGAAAGTGATGATGAGATCTCCTCGTACTCTTCTATCAGCAAAAGCAGGCAGGTTATATAGCTCGAGGCGGTCTTCATAACTTGGCCTACGTGTGCCATATGGCATACGTGTAGCACGACGCTGAACGGCCTCTAATAAGCTGCTATCGCGAACAAGGTTTGAATCCCATACCGGACCAGCAAACTCCAGTAGGGGTCGTACGAAAGTTGTGTACAAAAAGGAGGAGGTACTAACGGTGCAACCGCTAAATGACCTTTCCATCATATATAGCAACCGCTTTGCCTTAGAGGTTATGTTCTGAATGTGCTCCGACCAGGTGAGCCGGCCATTAACTGTCAGACCAAGATCTGTGTGATGAAGAACAGTCTCTAAGGTATGTTAGCCAATCTTATATGTTAAGTTAGGATTATTCTTTCCCAGGTGGAGAACGTAGCATTTCGATAGATTTAAAGGCAGGAGCCAGAGTTCTGACCACTTTCTGATCAGCTTGAGGCCTTCTTGAAGCACAGATGAGTTCATGACAGTGTTATAGACTTTAGTATCATCTGCATAGATGGAACACATAGAATAAAGTCGGGTGGGAAGGTCGCTTGTATAAAGAAGAAAAAGTATTGGCCCTAGCACAGATCCTTGTGGAACTCCACTAGTAACATGATGACTAGAAGAATAGGCGTCTCTAACACGGACGGAGAAAGATCTGTCTAACAAAAAAGCTTCAATCCATAACAACAAATTTTTATCAATGGCAGGTAGACCACATCTAATACAAAGTGACTGGGCCTACAGTCGCGGAGTGAGATCTATACAGAGCCAATCGGTTGGCTGAGATTCGCTGTTTCGCATTGGTCGATTCAAGTGACAAATGGCGCTTCGCACTGTCTTATTTCAATAGACCACATGCTCTGAACAGTTGCTAAGCGTTTCTTCGTTGTCCGAGAGACATAAGCCTATGCTATGCTGAGCAGTGGCCAGGAAGCACAAAACAGGTGAGCATGGTTGGGTGTCTTTGAGATTGTATACACTTTTTTGGTTTGAAGGCAACAGCTATTTTATTGTTTAGTCTGTTTTGGGGTACTTACCTAACAGCAGGCTGCAATCTCGGTCCTGAAATAGGTTGAAATAATTAGTAAGAACTGTCAGTCAGCTTGTAAGACTACAGATGTATCGTATTTGAAAATGAATGTATAGACTAGAATTTTCATTTCAATAGAGCTATCAATTTCAGATAATTGATACGTCGTACGTTATAGAAAAAGATTTGAATTTTTTCAGATTTCTGGTAAAAGAATAAATAAAAGTAAATAACGGTACTTATGATCCGACAGAAATATGTCATGAAATTCGTGGTTACATTTAGTGCGGCCGCACACCAAAGCGATACGCCACATTCATGCAACATTTACTTCGCCACATTCATGCAACATTTACTTCGCCACAATTTCTATGCCTCGTTGGTGCTTGGAACAATTGTGTCTTATTACCGCACACCGGACACACCATTTCTCGTGTAGCTTTGAAGTTAGTTAAAATGTCGACAACGTCATCGTCGGACGATGACGATTTTTTAATGTGGCAATTATCAAGAAGAAAAAGACGTTTTTGGGTTCATCCGTATAATGAAGATTGCACAATTCACGGAAATTTCATACTTTCACAACAGCTGAAATCTGACGAAGACAAATTCCAGTTATATCATCGAATGTCTCAAAATACATACCAATTATTATTGGATCTAGTTAAACCAAGTTTAACAAAACAAAATACCCACTACAGAGATTGTGTTCCTGCTGAAGAGCGCTTATTGATCACTATAAGGTAATTGTGCTAAAGAAGTGTAGTTTATTTAGGTAAATAAAATAATTTTGAACAATGTCATGAATGAATGTAACAGTTGATTCTGCCAAACAAGCGATCGATTTGAATACCATCAGAAAGTAGCAAAATGAACCGTATACAGGTTTATAAAAATCAAACGTTCACGATTAGTAAGTTTGTTATTAGTAAAAATATAAAATTGTTTAAATTGACAAAATTAGTAGCAAGTTACGAGTTGAACATTTTACATGGATATATTACAATTTTTTGTTAGTTTTGAAAGTAAAAAGGGATATCGTGTAGGGAGGTATGCTAAGAAAAGTCCGATTTAGTTGCCCTTATATTTTAATACTCATAATACTGAATAAGTTTGCGTCTGTAGATTATCGAGGGATTGTTGTCGATCCTCAAGTCCATCATCTGCGGAACCTTGAGTCACTGAGGCTGATAACTGTTGAGTAGGAGGATCATGTAGAAATCGTTCAGAAAAGTTAGTGTAGAATGATGCTACATTTGGCAAATCTGCAGAATGATGATGTCTGCTTGAAGGCTGTCCATATTTAATCTTTTCTATTATCTCCAGTACTTCTCTTTGAAATATTAACTGTTGGTGTTGGGACATTGATGCCACATGTGGAACTAGACTTAAAAGAAATAGCTCGCACGGTTCTTTTTTGTGTGCCTCGGATTCTTTTTTATCCTCTAGCCTCTTTTTTTCAATGTAAAATATTCAATGGCACATTTATCTGGTTCAGTCATTTGTTTCCTACGAATAGCGGAAGTCGATGATTGAATTGTTGGTCGTGACGCAGTTGAAGAGCCTGGATTTGATGCAGACGAACCAGCTATAGGTGACGGAACTTCATGTCTCAATAGATCTTCATCTACAGATGTGGCATCGGTTATCGTATTTAAAGATTGCTCTATAAGAGGTTCAGGCTCAGAAAAATTGTTAGATTCTTGTTCATTGTCGTGTATTACGTTCGTTATATTACCTTCTTGACGTCGATTTTTAGTAAATGGATTTAGAAACTGCAAATATGTTGACAAGTAGTAGCCTTGTCTAGATCCAGCACCAGAACCACTTTTCGATTTTGGAGTTAGAGTGCTTATGTAGGCAGAACGAATCGATTTCCATTTTAACTTACAGTCATCACCTATAAAGAAATAATATGTATGGTCATTTCAATTTCACATTCACATATTCAACAATAGAAATTAACAATAATATCTTAGTAATAACTAACACATTTTTTAGGTATTTGGCTACAGGATCTTCATTTCGAGCAATGTCTTACATATTTAAAAGAGGTGAAACAACTATTTGAAAAATAGTTAATGAAAGTTGTGAAGCCATATGGAAAGTCTTACAACCGATTTATATGAAAAAACCAAGCACAAATGATTGGCTAAGTATTTCACAAGAATTTCTTCAAAGGTGGAATTTACCTAACTGCATAGGCGCAATAGATGGGAAACATATTCGGATACAGAAACCTATGAACTCAGGATCATCGTACTTTAACTATAAAGAATATTTTTCCATACATCTTATGGCATGTGCTGATGCAAATGGATCATTTGCAACTGTCGACGTAGGGGATTATGGTCGGAACAATGATTCAGGAGTATTTAGAAATTCAGGCTTAGGCCATGCACTATGTAATAAAACATTAAATATACCTGAGTCAGTGCCATTGCCAGGTGAAGAGCAATTCGGACAACCAAAAATAGTCGAGTGCGCCTTCGGCATGCTTGTATCCAAATTTCGAGTATTCGAAACGCCAATCTCATGTTCCGTTCAGAAAGTTGATAAAATCGTTAAGGCTGCTTGTGTTTTACACAATTTCATAAAAAACCATGATAATATTATTTTAAATCCGACTGATGATGCAACAAACATTACCAATATCCCCATAATAATAAACCAAGGAAGACCAAATAACAATTCAACAGAATCTAGAGAATACCTATGTAATTATTTTCAGAAACCATACGGCTTGGTACCATGGCAAAATAAATATACAGTATAATATTTGTACAATAAAAAATTAGTTGATACCTACTTGTTTCATTGAATTTTTCGCCGATTTTTGCCCATATGAGCTCTGTTGCTCTTCTATTGCTGTACTCAGAGAGTTTGTAATTATATAATGGAGGATTTTTCTCCACCTCACTGATAAATTCGATATTAAAATCCACATTGTCTTTCATTATGGCAATTATGGCAAACATGTGGCTTGGCGTTGCGCGCTACAAAGAACGAACCTGTTCGATCTTGAAAACTAGCGACGTATTTGTTGAATCGCCACAAAATGCGCTCGATACAAATGTGTCTCTGGTGTGCGTGTCTGTGTGCAGATATATGGAAGTGTTAAAAGTGTCGGACTTTAATGTGGCGCAAGAATTGTATTAATACAAATGTGTGGTGTGCGGCCTGACTTACTTTGTAGTTTAACTGTCACCGGTCATGGGTTTCGCTTTTATTATCATAATATCAATTGTAAATCGTCAAAACACTCTTTTCGTTTTAAACGAACAGCTTGCGTAAAATTGAGAATAAAAAAATCGAGCAAAACTGCTCATGTTTACAAGCTGTAATCTACCTGAGTACATTGTTGCTGTTGATGGATACATGAATATCGAACACGCTAACGAGTTTTACATAGATTTTTTGTGAACATGTTAAAAAATGGCATTATGAAGCCTGATTGTTTCCAATAGCACGGTGATCATTAATCTATATAGGCGGATATACAGTGGGTCAAGAAAGTATTGTCACACCCCATGTTTTTCTGGAATCTCAATAACCATAAGATGAATTTCTGGTTACTACATTGTTACTGTTATAGTCACCATATATTAAATAATTAGCCTTTCTTGTATAAGTCACAACTTTACAATTAGAAACATTCAAAGTAAGACAGTTTCGCGAGCACCATGAAGAAGTTAAGTCGAAATTGTCCTGCAGCATGACGTAATCATCAATTGACGCGCCCAATGCGTGAATCTTAAAGTCGTCAGCAAAAAATAGATGCACACACTTGAGCTCAATATACAAATAGTTAGTGAATATGAGGAACAATAATAGACCTATATGCGAACCCTGAGGCACCCCGGATGTGGCTTGATAATAACTTGACCTATAACCACCATATTCAACAAACAACGTTCGGTTCGTCAAGTATGAACTCATGAGCGACAACACTCGCTCAGATTGACCTACATCCTAAGCTTATCCAGAAGTACATAATGATCAAATTGTTCAAATGACTTCTGGATATCTGTATACATTACATCAACTTTCCCCGAGTGTCTAATATTTCCGAGATATTCTGAGTAATCAGTGTCAAGTCTCTGACAAGGAAACTTGGGATACCATCATATCCAGATGTCATTTTGTTCTTTAATCTTTTCGAAGGCATGATAACACCATCTTCACTTATATAATTGAGAGAAATTGTACTACTGGATTTAATTTTTGAAGACAAGTTCCTTAGTGTATTAAAGTTTATAAGAACTGATGAAAAAACAGCAAAACTGTCAACGATATCTTGAGGAGTATCGGAGACAATACCGTTAAGCGTCATTCTAGAAGGAAGTCTAGATTGTTGTTTCTTACTGTGAACGAATGACCATAATTTAATAGGATTTGTGGCAATGGCATCCTCAACCGATTGGATGTACGCAGAATATGCAATATTGATCTGGTTTTTAATAAGATCACTAAACTGAATATAAAAGAGTTGGTGCTGTCATGTTTCCAGTTCTTCCTTGACATGTTTTTCTTATCAAGATTGACTATGATCTCACATGTGAACCATGGTGGATATGAAAACGGTTTACTTTTACATGTAGGAACATAAACCTCAAATATGTTATTAATTACAGGATATAAGTGTTGCTCACATTGTCTGCATTAATCACTTGAGTCCAATTAGCATCCAGGAAGGATGTGTATATTTAATATATATATACGTAATATATTGATCTAAAAGATCAGCGCGTGATGATGGATATCCTCTTTAACTAACGGTGAACTATCCCTGATGACTTTCTAAAATCAGTCCCAGTATTCGTTCGTTTAAATTCAAAACATTATTGAAGTTAATTATGTCAAGAAACGAGATAAAGCCTCTTATAAATAATTGTGACTTCTGATCATTGATATCACTACTGAACGACGCGACATTAGAGTCGCCAGAGATAATCACTTGACAGTAACTGAAAGCATTGTCGAATACTTCCAGGGCTTCAAGATACGGACCAAATATGTTAGAAAGAATTAAAGGAGGAGTATAAATAGAATAAATAAGCAAATTATTAATTTGATGCAAACAGTATCAATTAAAGCAAAGTTCCGGCTCAAAGCGCTAGTGTCAATGCTTACTACATTGAATATGTTACTGGACCGGAACGCAGCTTCAAGATGCTCTTATGCAGGAATGAGACCAAGCTCGACCAAAAATAACTCAGAATCTGCCTGCCACGATGGCTTCAGACCTCAATTGATGCAAGTGGTATGATAACAAAGTATTAACTGTAAATAAATGTTGTCAACACTTTATTAATTATTGACCAGACAAGGATGTAAGCTTCATGATAAGTTATATATTCTTGCTATGTTACTTAAGTCCTTGTTCAACATTTCGTTTTTGAACATGAAGATATAATAGAGTGTGCCAATACTTTTTTGACTCACTGTAGACGCTTGTCGCTTTGTTGTTTTCATCCTGCATCGCGATCCGTAGTGCAAAACCGATATTTTATTCATACATCGCTGTTTTGCCACCGGAAAAAATGCATTTTAAAACGTTTTGTACGTTCTCTCACAAAGCTTTGATGTGAAGCAGATGTGTATTTGCACGACTGCCTTAAAATCGATTTTGAGGATTGCGTCGTATAAAAAGGATCCAGCAGAGATGATCGGGCTCCGAATAAGGAGGAAAACATTTGAGGAATTTGCGAAATATAAAGGGTATTTAGTAATTGAATGTCAATATCTGGGAAGCTATTCTTGGGTCCATTCTGAGAAGAAAACTTCATACACACGTCTTAACTTCTGAGACAGAGCGTGGTAAAGTATTCAAAAATAAATAATTTACTATTAATATCTGTAAATACCACTTGGCTTGAGATCTTTTAGTGAAATTTGACATACATGCACTATGCATAATATTACACTTTTTTACTACTTTTTTTTATTTCGACCAGTGGCCTTCGTACGGAATTTCGCCTGGCCATTTGGCAGACATTCACTGATTTCTCTTAAATAAAAATTATTCTTGAAATCTCCCATCATTTCTAAATAACTTTGGTTTCTTGGTTTTTCAGTTCGGTTTTTGCTTTAAAAATAAAATTTGTTTCTCTATATGATCATAACAATATGGTTAATAGGACAATCTCAATGCACAGGAACAGGTTTAATTTTTTAGGTGGAAACCATGCATCGGATTTAAAAAAATTCCACACGTCAAATCTGCTCATAAACGAATACAGATTTCATTTTACTTCCTATACCAAAACTGGCGAGGAAGTATTGGATTCGCGAAAAATTTCGAAATTGAGTGATATACAGTCATGGACAAAAGTATGGAAAGATTTTTATTTCAAACATTTTTCCAGCTCGCCTTGTATACAACAATAAATTGTGCCGTTCATTTTATATGCCTGCTTAGGTATCACATATTTTCACATGTTTACTTTTTCTGCATTAGACATTCCTACCTTGTTTGCGTTTTTTTCTTTAGACCTTGGACAAATGCATGAACAGTTTTTTTATATCAGAATTGTTACAAATTCAATATCGTTGGATTAGTTTTGTTGTATCCCTGTTATAACCAGCACCCTATTAAGAATGTCCAAGAATAAGTATTTGCCGGAAGAGTTGCGTCTTAAAGTTGTCGAGTTGAAAAGCAATGTTCTATAGCAAGAAATTTAGACTTAAGCGAGGGTGTCTTTTCAAAAAGTCTAAAAAAGTTTGGGTTGCTAGGAAACGTTACTAATCGGCCAAAGTCAGGCCTTCCTAGAAAAATTACCCCATATGTTGATAAGGGCATTAAAAGAATTTCGATAGCTAATCCGCATAGGTCATCCATCCAAATTAAAGCAGACATTCGTCAATATTTAACACAGACATAACGACCCGTACCGTGAGAAGATGTCTATGTGAATTTGGGTTGCTTGGATAGTTTCTGTCAAAGAAACGTGTCTAAAAAGAATCGGAAGGCCATACTTCAGTTTGCTCATAGACATTTAAATTGGACACCTAAAAACTGGGGTATGGTGCTTTGGAGTGACGAAAGCAAATTTAAAATATTTGGTGCTGATGGAAGATCGTTTGTAAGAAGACCTGTCGGGAAAAAAATTGATATCAAGTATCAAAAGCCTACGGTAAAGCTTGGTGGTGTCAGTGATATGATCTGGGGGTATTTTTCCAGGTCTGGAACGGGCCCGATACTGAAAATAACTGGGAAAATGGATCGCTTTATGTACCGCGACATATTACAGAATACTATATTACCCCATGCCGAAGAAGAAATGCCGCTGTTGTGGAGATATCAACAAGACAACGACCCGAAACATGCATCTCATTTAGTAATAAATTGTTTTTTTTTGATAAAAGCTTTGATTTACTGGGATTGCCTTCGCTTCCCCCCGCCCTTAATCTAATTCAGCACCTTTGGGAGCAAATTTGGCAAAAATTATTCATAGTGACAATGATCTATGGGAAGATGAATGACGGAAAATTCCAGTTGATCTGTGTCGAAATCTTGTTGATTCCGTGCCAAGAAGATGTAGGAAAGTAATTAAAGCAAAGGGATTTTCAATAAAATACTGAACATTGCTTGTTTAATTGGTAAGTTTCACTTTTTTTCTCAATAAAAATATTCTTTCCGTACTTTTTGCTAAGGGTTTTCTTTAAATATCATAATATAAGACTTGGTTTTATTTTGTATTCTCATTTATTTCTAAACTGTTACTGATTTAGTAGTAGATTTTTGTTTTTTAGTATGTAATTAATTATTGATTA